AATAATATAAATTTCAAAAGGACAGCTTTTGGATTATAGCAGTTCTTCCCCTCATACCCGCCATCCCACCCCCAAACCATCTCACATCCTAACCCCTCTCCCATCCCATTCTTCATTAAGATTATAGCTCTGCTGACTGACATTTGAAACTTGATGTCATTTGTCCTTTAGCTGCTAAGCTATTTATGTGAACTTTTGAGCTAGAAGTAATGGTGAATGAGATACTGAAAGTTAGGCTAATCTGTGGCAACAAGATGAAAATTAGGGGGAAGGTTGTTGTGCAGAATTGACATTTAATAGAAAAACTCAAGCAATTCCTCAGTAAGGAAAAAACAACAAATGATTAGAGATGTTTCAATGTTACCAGGAAAAGTTTTTCACTGCTTGTTCAAAAAAATTCCTGCACCCTACCATATACTTTTAATGTAAAAATCTGTTTTTACTAACATAGCTTGTAGTTAAAATTCACTGGAGTAGATCAGGGACAAGGATTCCACTCTTCCCATGTATGATCTAAGACCTAGTAACAGCAAAGACGGCAGAAGACAGAAGGAAAAGTCATCTAAGTTGGAAAAAGGAGGCGAAATTGTTTCTGTTTTCAGATAACATTCCCTTTTTTATAACATTCTCTTATATACAGAAAACTCTAAAGGCCCCATCAAAGACTTGTCAGAACCAGTAAATGAATTCAAGAAATTTGCAGGATACAAAATCAGCATAGGAAATTTCAAACTGTGCATTAACAATAATATATCCTGAAAAGAAATCCAGAAACAAAGCTCAATTTTAACAAAATCAAAAAGGATGAAACATTGAAGTGTAAACTTAACCAATGTAGTGAAACAGATTTTAGAATATAAAAACAAAAGGAAAATATTGTTTGTTTTTGGATTGAAAGAATTAATGTTATTAAAATGTCCTTACTGCCCAATGTGATCTACAGGCTCAATGCAATCCATCTCAAAATCCCAATAGAATTTTCCACATAAGTACAAAAAGCAATCATAACATTTATGTGAAGCTCCAAAAAATCTAGTATATCCTGAGGAATTTTAAGCAAGAAAAACAAAGCTAAAAGTATAACACTTCCTGATTTTACAATAGAATAGAATCAAAGGTAAATGATACATAAAACAAAACAGAATACAGAAATTTTAAAAAATGCTCATATATAATTTATTTTCAAAAATGGAACTCAGTATAATCATGCATCAATTAACAGTGAAGAACATTCTGAGAAATGTCTTTTTGGGTGATGCTGTGGTTAAGCAAACATCATAGAGTGTACTTACATGAACTAAAATAATTATGTCACTAGACAACATAATTTCATGCAATACTGTCATGTATGCAGACTGTTGGTGATAAAATCATTATTATGCACAATGGGGAAATGACAACTATTAAATACAGTCTCTAAAAGTGAATATCCATGTGCAAAAATATTAAAATTGGATCTTTACCTCATACTATATAAAAATAAACTCAAAGTGGATTAAAGACTTACTGCCATGTTTGAATCAAAACTAGAAGAAAATGGAGGAGTAGTACTTTCACATTGGTCTCTGAAACAAATATTTGATTTGACACCGAAGCAAATGCAACACTTGCAAAAACAAAGAAATGAGTGTGTGCACATAATATATATATATATATTTGTAAATATTTATACACACACACACACTTTCTGGGGTGGCCTTTTTGCTCTGTGGTTAAGATGTTTGCACACCTGCATCTCATATTGAGTGCCTGGTCTCATGTTCCAGCTCAGCTAATGAGCTAATGATTTCAGGTTTTTACTTATGTACCATTCAAATCAGAAAATGATGGCCCAAGCATTTCGTTCCCTGACACCCATGTAGAAGATATGCACTGAGTTTTGTTCAAGCTCCTAATTCTTTTTTTTTTAACTTTTATTTAATGAATATAAATTTCCAAAGTACGGCTTATGGATTACAATGGCTTCCCCCCCATAACGTCCCTCCCACCCACAACCCTCCCCTTTCCCATTCCCTCTCCCCTTCCATTAACATGAGGATTCATTTTCAATTCTCTTTATATACAGAACATCAGTTTAGCATACATTAAGTAAAGATTTCAACAGTTTGCTCCCACACAGAAACATAAAGTGAAAAATAATAGATGATTTTTTAAATGATGATGAAATCAGATCAGACCTATTGTCATGTTCAAGCTCCTAATTCTTGACCCGCTCTGGCTGGTGGATGAAACATTCTCTCTCTCTTTCTCTCTCTCTCTCTCAAACAATTGGTGAAAGATTCTGGATAAGAAAAGGAAATAACATAATTGAAAATTCAAAAAGAATGAGAGAAATACCTATAAACTTATATATGAAGAGGAGTTAATAGAAACTGAAATGAATTAATAACAAAAAAACACTAAGAATCTAAAAATGATAATATATGGATAGACATTTCTCCCCTGACATCTAATACAAATAACCCTCAGCTATATAAAAAGATGCTCAGCATCACTAATTATCAGGGAAATACAAATCACATACCACAACCTCACACTTATTAGAATGGCTACAACAAACTGTCAAGATAGGTGTTTATGAGGATGCAGAAACGAGGAATATCTGCACACTGTTGATAGTACAGAAATTATGGAAGATTCCCATAACATATGGAATATCATAGGGAGGTTCCTCAAAAATTAAAAGCAGAGCATCCATATGATCCAGAAATTCTGCTTCTGGGTTTTAATATCATAATTTATCAATACCTGCTTCAGATTTACATCATATTAAATTATAGAAACTTATCTTCAGTCTAGTTCCATGGTTTCCCTCACCATTTGTGATAATATAAATTACATTCCCATTTAAGCATACCAATAAAATTTTAATATTTTATGAAATTTCCCTTAAATCAATTAAGAGAATAAAAATGAAAAATATATTTCTTTTTATATATTTATGAATATGCTACTGATTTGCTTATTAATATATTTATGTTAATAAGCCATGTGGGCTCTTGCCACATATTCAGAGAAATCTGAATACTGGCACAGAAAACCAGGCAACATGATAAGTTTTATGCCTTTTATTCAGTGAGAGAAATGCGTACGAGAGTGATTGTTAATCTAATCTAAGGGAAAGATAAAAGTCCGGCAATTAAGTTGAAATCCAAATCAAGCAAAAAGCAGTCCAAAAGCCATGTGCAGGAAGCTTTTGATTTTGAGCAGCTATAAGCAGCTTATCATGGGCAATGAAGCAAAGGCAGAGAGCACAGCCGGCCCATCAGCCATGCACCTCAAAGGCACGGGGCAACAAGGGTCCATAGAGGTGAAAGAGGACAAAAGGACTGGGCCCACCATATTTCAGGCTTTTAATTCATTTCCAAAGGAAAGTGGTTAATTAGCCTGATCAGCAGGTGGGCATACAGATATGGTGAGGTAGGGACATGAAATCACACAGGGGGGCATGGAGAAGACATGATCTTCCAGCTCACAAATCTAATCAATTTTATCCTACATCAAAACTGTATTTATTGGTGTTATTTGTTTCTTCATGTCAATTTGAGTGGTCATATGGTGTTCTTTTTAATCTGTAGTTCATATCTCTTTAAATGTAGGTCTGCTATGAGCAAATCCTACCTGTCTTTGTCTAGAAATGTCTTTCTCTTGCTCTAATTTTGAAGGATAGTTTTGTTGAATATAAAATATATAAAATTCATGGCTGGAGGATATTTCTTTCTTTGACTATGTCATATCACAGCTTTCTGAAATCTATTATTTCAGATTATATATAAAATTATTGCTGATATACACATAATAGAATGTGTTTTTCATATTTCTCAATATTTTAGATTTCTTTAGGCTTTCAACAATCTCTGGTGTATCAAGGTGTTGACATTCTGTTATTCCTACTTGAA